TGTCCAGGAAGCACCAGGGGCCCCTCCTCTTAGGACCTTTCCTAGGTGGGGGGCTGCTCACACAGCCCCTGCTCTGGGTTTGCTCACCCCAAACATCTTTCTGCTGTGGGACCCAAGGGCCCAATGACTCACGTTCCCTCAGGTGGTGGTGGTCAGGGTGTAGCTTGATGGGGTCTCCTCTGCTGGAGCGCCTCTCCAGGCCCCTCCCGCACTGCTGGGTTCCTCCCTAGCTTGTGCCCCGCTCTGGGCACCGAGGGCTCAGCTCCTCTCAGCTGCTGGCTCCTGGGTGCTGGGCCTCACGCTGCAGCACTACTATTTCCTCATGCCCTGGCTCAGCACTGAGGGCTCTCAGCACACGCCAGGCCCTTCAGGCTCCAGCCGGCCGGCCTCACGCCAGGTGGCTAACCCAAACAGCCTCCACTGCTCCCTGGCTCCCAAGGCTTGGGCCCGTGCACCGCCCTGTGCACCATGGGACCTGGCCACTTCCTGGGAGATGGGGCCTGAGCTGCCTTACTGCAGCCCCAAGACCCTTATCCCGTACGCTGCCCCACACACCATGTGGGACCCTTGCCCTGCCGGGGTTGCGGGCTCGAGCCACCACTTGTGGCTACCAAAGCTCTCCCTGCGCTGAACCGTGCATCGTGATGGGCCTGAGCAGTCTCTCACTTCTCCCAGGGCCAGGTCTCCCCGCACCGTCCCCATGCGCTGTCACCAGCCTGAGCAGTCTCACACTGCTCCCAAGGCTGCTCCTCCAGCGGTGGCTTCAGGAGCCTTGGGCCTATTGGCCGCTGAGGGACAGCTCCCCAGCTTTCCTTGGCTCCGCTCTTCTTGAGTCCCTCACAGGCATCCCCCCAGCATGCTGAGTACGCTGGGCTTTTATTTACAGCGGAGGCCCCGCCTCCCGGGACTCCTCCCACCCCCCCACCCCCACTCTGAGCATGGGTGGGACAAGCCCCTCCCAGCTGTTACCTGATTGGTGGAAATGTTCCACCAATCCGAAGTGTCCTTCTCCAAGCCGGGCTTGCCAGGCAAAAGAAGCAAGCCCGCCCCAAGAAGAAAAGGAGGTTGTTTCACATACAGTGCTGGGTCGCCGCAGGAGGAGGTTCCACAAGGCTAGATTTTTGTGCATTCGTGTGGACTTTTAGGTTGTAGCCAGGTTGTAGCTGTATTGGTCTAGAGGAAAAGGCAATCAAGACTCAAAGTTGAGATGATACCAGAAGATATCATCTTGACTATGAGTCCTGATTGCTTTTTCCTCTAGACCAATACAGCTACAACCTGGATACCTGACACATGGAAGATATCAAATTATAGCCAATTTTTAAAATGAAGTCTTCTTATTTTCCAAAGCAGGAAGCAACTGTGACCACCTGAAACCTAAGGCACTGCTCTTGCCTTTGTTTCAAGGTAATTTGCATCGTCACTAATTTGCAACAACTTCGACCTGGTTGGACTAACTGAAACCTTGTGGGATTCCACTCGTGACTGGGCAGTAGGCATTGAGGGTTACAGGTTGTACAGACGGGATAGAGTGGAGAAAAAAGCGGGGTGGTGTTGCTCTCTGTGTTAAGGAACAATATACATCCTCTATAATCAAGATGGGCTCAGAGGAGGGCAGGTACTGTGGGTCAGGATACAAGGGGGTCGGGGGGAAAGGGACTTGGTAGTGGGGATCTACTATAGACTGCCACACCAGGAGCATGAGCTAGACCTGGAATTCTCAAGAGCATTGGCGAAATGGGGGTCCAGGAAGGGTGGTCATTACACAAGGGAGTGATCCTATGGGCGAAGAAGGAGACAATCCCATTGTGCATAAAAGGGGGCAAAGGGGCCAAGAAGCCCTCTTGGCTGAACAGGGAAGTCCAGGAAAGCCTAAGGGCAAAGAAAGAGGTATACAGGCTGTGGAAACAGACGGTAGCTACCAAGGAGTATACCACCCTGGCTCGCACTTGCAGGGAATCATTTAGGAAGGCCAAAGCAGGATTGGAACTTAGGCTGGTGCCAAAAATTATAGGACAACAAAAAGTCCTTCAGGTATATAGGGAGCAAAAGGAAGGCCCAGGGTACCATAGAACCCCTACAGGACAAACTAGGATAATTGGTGACAGCGAGGGGGGGCAAAGCTGAGCTCTTCTATGAGTTTTTGCATCTGTATTCCTAGACACAGACCAAGACAAATCTCCCAGTTGGATTATAGATAGACACAGGAGGGACACCAGCCCACCAACTGTTAGTGCAGACTTAGTGAAGGGGCATTGGGAGGGGCTGGATGTGTTCAAATCAGTGGGCCCGGATGAACTTCATCCAAGGGTGATGAAGGAATTGGCCAGTGTCATAGCAGAGCCACTGGCACAGCTGTTCAAGCACTCATGGTGCTCCGGTCAGGTCCCAGAGGATTGGAAAAGGGCCAGTGTGGTCCCTATTTTCAAGATGAGGAGGGAGAAACCGGGAAACTATAAGCCAGGTAGTCTCACCTCTATCCTTGGGAAAACTCTGGAAAAAATCATTAAGGATCACATTTGTGGGAGCCCAGCAGGGGAAATAATGGTGAAAGGAAATCAGGATGGATTCATTGCAGGTAGATCTTGCCTGACTAACCTTGTTTCTTTTTATGACCAGGTCACAAAATGCTTAGACACAGGAGTAGAGATAGATGTCATCTACCTAGACTTTAAGAAGGCCTTTGATACAGTATCTCATTCTGTTCTCATAAATGAACTGACAGGCTGTGATGTAGATGATTACACAGTCAGATGGGTGGCAAATTGGTTTGGGGGTCTCACCCAGAGAGTGGTGGTAGACAGGTCGATATTGACCTGGAAAGATGGGGGCAGTGGAGTCCTGCAAGGCTCAATCCTTAGACCGGTGCTATTCAATGTCTTCATCAGTGACTTGGACAAGGGCGTGGAGAGCACCCTGTCCAAGTTTGCAAATGATACCAAATTCTGGGGCAGAGTTAACACTCCAGAGGGTAGGGAACGGATCCAGGCGGATCTGGACAGGTTGGAAACATGGGTAGAACGAAATAGGATGCAGTTCAACAAAGACAAGTGCAAAGTGCTGCACCTGGGCAAAAAGAACCACCAGCACACTTACAGGCTGGGGGATGACCGTCTCAGCAGCACAGCAGTGGAAAGGGATCTTGGAGTTGTAGTTGACTCCAAGATGAACATGAGTCATCAATGTGACAAAGTGATCAACAAGGCTAACTGCACTTTATCATGCATTAGCAGATGTATGACGAAAAGGTCTCAGACTCAATGACCTACTGAGGTCCCTTCCAACCCTAACATCTACGAATCTATGAATCACAGCACCTCACAAGAGGCGAGAGACTCCATACCAGCTATAAAATGAGTGCCCAGAGGCAGAAGACAGGGAGTATAGACGGAAGCATGTGGGTCACAGAGCTGGCAAGGCAGTGCCAGGGACACAGGGTTCCAGGCTGGCATCTTGAATAAGAAGTCAGTAGTCAGGAACCAGGAACTAACAGGCAGGAACCAGGAACAAGGATGAAGTTAAGAAGCCAACAGGCAGGACTCAGGAAACTAGGAACCAACAAGCAGCGCCTGGGCAACTAGGAACAAGCAAGCAGGAACCAAATCTGGGGAACTAGAAACAAGAAGTCATAAGCTCCAAGGCAAAAGAAATATGCATGCACCTATCCTACTAAGAAGCCTTGTGAGCGCTGAAACAGCTGCTACTTATCAACAGGCAGCCATGGACATGCAGGCAACTGGGGGCAGCTGGGGGCAGTTTAGCCTGCATGCTGTCCTGAAAATCCGTTAATGTATCCACTTTTGTACCACACCATCATCTGACCCTTAAGGCTGTGTCACTAAAAGGCAGCACAGAGGAGGACCCAAGCACCTTTGTATTAACACTTTTTCAAAGACTTGAGCAAGGTGGACTAGTGTTCACACTTTGTGCCATAGACCTCTTGTGCTCCTAATGGGTAGGATAGAGTTTGGCCCCATGTTTCTGAAATATACTGGTTCTTTATTAAGAGAACTGGTCACAGGGATGCTGCAACCACAACCAGCATTACAACTGTGCACCCACGACTGACTTCCTGGTGCCTTCCCTCCGCACCCTTCCCTCCAAGCTGTGCTCCTCCCTTGAAGTTACACATAGTTGACATTTACCAAACAAAGTCTCTAGTACCAATGTATTCCCACCCCAACTCTAATACAATTCATTTTCAAGCTCATTTTCATAATCACTTGCATTGCCCTTGCCTCTGCCTGGCACTAGTGCCTTGTCTTTCTGCCACTGACCTCAGACCCTTCCAGATGGGTCTATATAGACTGCTGGGTGAGAGAATCCTTCACTTTTTGATGCATCCAAGTTCCACAGCTGAAGGAAGAGACAGTGTTGTAACCCTTTCCATTTCTAAGCCCATCATTTTGCAGAAGATTTTCTCCCAAATATTTACATGTCTTGATTACCCTGAAAGGGCCAATCAAATGACCAGGGTAAATTGCTGATTTCTCAGACACAGGAGTGCAGGCAAAGCACCTGTGACTATAATTCTGTTGGAAAATCAAGGACACCAACTACAGAACTTTCCGCCTCCTGCTGAGAATCTAACCACCTTCTCCTAGCAAATGATTGTGTAGGGGCCATTTGTGGGCACTTGTGCATTTGATGAATGGTGGATGTTTTGCTGTTTTCTGTGGCAAATGCCTCATTTAGTGGCAGGCAGTTCCCTGGCAATGTTCCATTCAGTATAAAATGGTGAATGACCGGACATTTGCTGAGATGGAGATTGTGATTATTTAATCTTTTTTAGTCACGGTTTAAAATGGCTTTGCATCTTTATGAGAAAATACAGGCTCAAAATCTTGCAAAAACATGAAACTGGCAGCATACACACACACACACCCCCACACACACACCCCTCCTAGTAGTCCCAGCAGTGCAAAGAACCAACCCATTGTTAATGGACAATAGGCGCCTCTGAGCTATAGCGCCAGCAGCAACGAAAGATGAGAGAACCCACCCAGACGGGAGTCACAGTGGCTCTGGGACCCAGGCAAGAGGAAAACTGAGACCAGCTACATGATGGCTGTGTCTCGGCTGCTTGTTGGGGCTCAAATCTCAGGTCTGGGAGCAGTGCTGGGTTTCCTTTGCTTCTCAACCATGCTGAATGCAGCCCCAGAGTTTTCAGGTGAGTTTGTGAGATCAGCCAGTGTGCTCTATTGATTGGGGGCATGGGGTGGTGCTTAAATTGTAGACCTGCTGTTGCTGGGACTTCTTAGCTAACAGTGAATGAGGATGGAGTTGGGTGGGGTTGGGAAGATAACTTCCTTTAATTGTACACCCAATTTATCAGATTTCTTGGACCCATCCAAGGAGGGGTTTGTGACAATGCAAAGTGAGCTAACTCAGGATTGTGCTCCTTTGCAAGCTGGTGGAGGCAAGGGCTGTGTTTGCTTTTCATGGAGTAGGGAATAAGTGATGTACAAACAAATGCAATCCAGTTTTAGTCCAAGCAGGCTGTTATTCTTCAGCAACATTATTTCAAGCCTGTCACAAAGTAGACGATGCTTTCCCTTACTTTGTATGAGTATCCTAGGAAGAGGGAGCCTAAACCAAAAATCTGATGGACTAGGATTAGGAACTGGAAACTTTGGTACAGAACATGAACTCTTGGAATGCTAGCCATTTGATGTGATAATCTATGCGTCTTTAGCTTCTGGTGACTTTCCCCCACTTTCCTCCAAAGAGGTATGTAGTGTCATGCACCACCGAGTGAGCTGCAAGGTACTCAAGAGCCTGCAGAAGCCATATGCATTTTAGAATTTATTTTGCTCAGTATTTCACTTCTGCATTAAAGGAGGAAGCTAGCTAACACAGAAGCTGCTCACAACTAGGAAAGGCATCTTTGCTTATGAGAAGAGGGGCCTAGTTCCTTCATTTTGCAGGAGTTCACTTGAATGTTGAAATCTAAACACTTCTATATTAGGGGGCAAAAGACTGATCTGGATTCTAATCCCTGCATCTGAACCAACTGCCCTGCACTGAAGATATTCCTTAGGCAATGCTTCTACCTGCTTTAAGGTCCCTGGAGCCTGCTGAAGTAGTGTAAGGAAGCCTTTGAGCAGTTCAATAATTGGCCCTAAAATTATTGAGCCCAACTAAGCACACATCCACTGGGCATGATCTTGTTAGGTGCCAAGCCCCTCAAACTCCAGTTCAGTAGAGTTGCTCCCATTTATACTGGTAGTTAAATTGGCCCCTAATGTTCCAACAAAGGTAAAAAAGATCCCTACCAGTCTAGCTCCAAATTGTAATTGTTTCAGTCTCCGGCATCATCCACATCTAACAGACTCAAAATAAAATTTAAGTGAAACCCAGCTGTTTCCTGTTTTGGGTGTAAACTAAAACCAGATGAGCTTGGTATATTTTTGAGCTTCACAACAAACCGCTCAACACTCTGAGACTGAATAAGCCACATGCCCACCTTTTACTAAATGTGCCCATGCTAAAGAAGTGCTGGTGCATATCAAGACATTACAAGGCATAACAGATCGGGCAGCAGTAAGATAAAAGGAAATGATTTAATCTGGGGGCTATGACTTCATAATCACAAGATCAGGGACTGAGTCACCAGGACTTCAATACGCAGATAATTCCCTGCAGCCTCTGTTACTATTGTTTGCATTAAAACAAACGTATCAGTGAGAAGTGTTTTATGTGCTAACACTCTTAGAATAGTGATCTTCAATCTCCAGCATCTGGGTAAGAAGAGATGGCACCGAGCTTGTTTTGTGCAGTCTACCAGGGTACTGTGAGGGACCTCATCAGCTTTAAAAAGACTCCAGCTTTCATTTTAAAATAAAAGCTTCTAGTGATAATGGCTGAAAATCAAATCATTGCAATATTAGGCAACAATAGGTGCTGTTGACAAAGAAAAACTGGGTCCACAGGTAGTTTTCATTATTGCCATTTAAAAATCATTAGTCAAGCACCTGGACATCATGAGACTGGATTAAGAATGAAGTATCGTATTTCACAGTGTACAGGTCAGCACAGTGTAGAAGTCAACCCATTTTTCTGATCCAAAAAGTTAGGAGTTTCATAGAACTGATGTATAAGTTGATCTAAATTTTTGGATCAAAAATGTGATGAGCCCTCACTATAGGCCAGACACCTGGGGAAGTGAATACGTGCCACAGCGCCGCTTGCAGGGGCTGGGGCCAGGCTTGGTTCTTGGCTGGCACAGTCTAGGCAGTGCTGCTCGCAGGGGCTGGGGCTGGGCTCAGCACCCAGCTGAGTGGCACCTCCATGGTGATGGCAAGGCCCACAGGCAGGGTCTGCGGGAAGGATTGGAGGGATTGGAGGTTAGGCAGCATCCACAGGGGGATTGGGGGAGTAGGCAGGGTTTGTGGCGGGTTGGTGGGGTCCGGGAGGGTTTGGTAGGATCAGGGGGGCTCGTGTAGTCTGTGGGAGGGCTTGTGGGGGACCAGGTGCTCTTTTTCGCCCCGCCGCCCTCCCTGGTGAATCTGCCTCATAACCCTCCCACTTCTCTCCCGACCGGGAGTTACTTTCTCAACTCCTGGCATCGGCAAACACTGATAAAACTGGCGTCAGGAGCAGTTTATGGGATGCGGGGGTTGTGGGGGGAGGGGGTGGGCTGGCTGGTCTGCAGTGGGGAAGGAGTGAGGGGTCAGAAAGTTAAAAACAGCTTGGTGCCAGATGGGCAGGTAGGAAAAGCACAGCACTGGGGCTGGGACCAGTGGCTAGGCTTTCCCAGCCCTGGGGCTGCACTGAGAACTGCACAGAATTTTGGGAAAGTTAGATCATCTAAAAATGGCCAAAAACCAGTCTAAATTAGACTACCTCCTAGGTAGGGTTAACTTAGATTGCGTTGGCTATTTTTAGATCAGTCTAAACTTCCTGGGATTTCTGTACAGTTCACACTTAGATGAATCTAACTAGGGATCTAAGTGTAAGGTCCACATTGGGGCAAACTACATTAGATTGGGTTGCCATTTTTAATGAGATCTAACTTCCCTCTAACCTCTGCAAATGTCTGTACACATATGAGTAGAGGAGAATACAACAGCCACCGCCACCACCCACTGTCCCATGCTGTCGCTGCTCCGCATCCAGACCTGTGCCAACTCCCCCGCATCCCGCTGCTCTGCATCTGGCCTCCTGGCCCAGCCCTGCACCACTCCGCATCTGGCCTCGCGCCACCTCTCACCTCCCCCCAACTCCATGTCCGGCTCCGCACCCAGAGGCGGATTAATATGTACTGGGGCACTGGGCAAACACAAAATTGGAGGCCCCTACCCCTACGGGAGCTGGGCTGCAGGGGGAGGGGGGCAGGCCCCTTCCCCTCCTGGTGCTGGCAGGGAGGCTGGGGGTGGGGGAAGCACATGCTCATCTCTTCTCCTTGCTCCCTGTCCCCTCTGTCTTGCTGTGGCCACACACACACACACACACACACACACACACACACACACACACACACACACACAGAGGCGTGCATACAGACAGGCACACACTACTCTCTCTCTGCACATGGACACACAGACACAAACACACTGTCCCTCCTGCCATGAACACACACACACACACAGAGGCGTGCATACAGACAGGCACACACTACTCTCTCTCTGCACATGGACACAGACACAAACACGCTGTCCCTGCTATGAGCACAGACACGTGCATACTCACGCACAGACATGCACTGATATACGCACGCGCATACAGACACATGTATGCACACAGACGGGCACACACTGTATTCACTCACTCTCTGCATATGGACACAGACACAAACACACTTTCCCACCAGCCATGAACAGACACACGCACGCACACACATGCACACATGCACGTACACGCAGAGGGAGAAAAAGAATTGGGGGAGAGGGGGCTGAGCATGCACACACCCCCAGGCAGAAAAGTCTGCAGGGGGAGGGGGGCTGGGACCGGAGCCGAGCCAGGCCCGGGATCAGGATCAGGGCCCGCTGGGCCCATTTGGCCACCCCTTGCCCCGTGCCTGGGGTTGTTGCCTGCCTGGCGCTGGAGACCCCCATGAAACCACTGCCCTTCAGCCCTGCACCAGCCCAGACTGCCTCGCTGTACAGCCCAGGGGGGCCCAGAGCCAGGGGCCAGAGCAGGGCCAGCCTCGGCTGCACTGCCGGGTCAGAGCCCTAAGGACCCATGTGCCTGCCCCACCGGGCTCTGGGGAGAGCCCAGTGCAGCCTGCTGGCTCCTCCAGAGGCATAGCGCGGGGGAGCCAAGGGTGGAGGGGGACACACCAGCCCAATCTGTGCACGGGGCAAGGGCAGCTGCAGCAGTGGGCCGGGCTCTGTCTACTCCCTGCCTGAGCACCTCGCTGCTGCTGCTTTGACAGCAGAGTGGAGCCATGTGCCTTGCTGCCCAGCCTGCCCAGTGGGATGCACATGACACTGTGCCGCTGTCAAAGGTGGGAGCAGGGTGCACAGGCTGGGAGCAGGCAGAGCCCAGCCCCAGCTGCAGCCACCTGTGCCCCATCCGCTCCCCTCGCCCCCCGGGCTCCTCAGTGCCATGCCTCTAGAGGAGCCACCAGGTTACACTGGGCTCTTCCCAGGGACAACCCAGGGCGGGACAGGTGCAGGGGCTCCATCCCCTCCAGTGCAGCTGAAGTTGGCCCCACTCTGGCCCTCAGTTCTGGCTCCCCCTCCTCCCCCCACCCCACCCCGGGAGTGTGGGGAGGCAGCCAGGACTGGTGCGGGGCTGGGTGGCGGTTGCTTTGCGGGGGCTGCCGGTGCCAGGCAACGGCCCTGGGTGCAGGGGAAGGGGCGGTTGCATGGGTGCAGTGGGCCCCAATCTGGGCTCAGCTGGGAGTACTCCCAGCTGCACTCCCTCCCTCCCTCCCTCCCTCCCCCCACAGACTTTCCCGCCTGGGGCGGGGGTGCAGGGGCATGCGCACACGCTCAGCTCCCCCAAGTATTTTTCCTTCCTCTGCCTTTGGGCCCTGTGCCCTACCCCATCCAGCTCCACTCCACCCCTCTCCCTGTTGCTTTGCATCCGCCTGGCCCCTGTCTGCCTGCCTTACCTCCCCTCCCTCCCTCCCTCCCTGCTGCTTCTCCCTCCCTGCTGGCTGTTCTGGGAGGCAGCCCTTGCTGCGCGGGCAGCCAGGGCATGTTCCCCGCTGCCAAACTTCCC